TAATCTACTACCTCTACAATGATATACATTTAAACTTACATGTAACCTTTTTTAATCAGTATAATGGTAATAAAATGTCTTCAGTAGCATCCTAACCTCAAATACCACCCTCATCTTACTGTGACGTACTCTTTTAAATACGATGATGAAATGATAACAGAGTCACAGCAGAACAGCTGTTATAAAATTGGAGGAAATGCTGGCATACAACTACAATTAATTTCAATCTTCACTGTCAGTATCACTGCCACCTAAATTAATTTTGTTATTATCAGTATCACAAAACACAGTACCAACACTTCTGAAAAACACTAAGTGTTTCTTTATACACATTAGGTCTCTGCAAAATACCTGTGTGTCATCTAATCATTTATCCCCACGAGTGTCTCCGTGGTGTTTAGTAGGACATCTTTACGTTACCTCTGCAACTAACTTTGGCATTTCTGTGGAGTGATAAATAATGCAAGCCACTGATCCATTACAACTATTATTCTGATAATCTTACCCCATTATTCCTGTAGGAATGGATGCTATGCACAGAATACGGGCATTGCACACCCCATTGCAGGAGATGACCGTTGGTTCGGGCTGCAAGCTCAACACGCACACCTGACCTACGTAACCATCACTGTTGCACACCCACACATCACGCATATTGTAGGCATTGAGACCAAGAGTTGGAGCTGCGCAGGTAAACTGCAAGCCGGCCCTCGTCTTTCGGATGGGCAGCGGAGACAGGAACTCTGGAGATGGACGCCTGTCTGCCGAGAGCGCTGCAACCAGTATCACATATACCATTAGGTAAAATAATATCCAGAAAAAATGTCAAAACCAAAAAATCTCATCAGCAGAAAAGTTATTCTCGTGTTTCGCTAACATTATGCGCAGTCAACAGTACCTAACTGGCAATAGCCACAAGTTTCATAATAATGGGAAAGCATACACAAGATCTACAAGTAATTAATTTGTTTTACTCGTGCATCCTTTGTCAGTCTTCATGAACATTTCTTCTTCTTCTTTTTCCACTTTAACAATTTTTGTACATTTTCCGGTACCTTTTACGGGTCCCCAACTTTTCAGTTGCCATTTATTCGGTAGGACTCCTTGGACGAGGGATCGGCCCGTCGCAAGGCCTCTACCTGTGCACAGGACAACACAACACAGAAAAACATCCATGGCTTGAGTGAGATTCGAACCCACGGTCACTGCGACCAAGCGGCACAAGATCCACACCTCACACCGCGTGGCCACTGCGGACTCCATGAACATTTCTTGTACAGACAAATCACTGTCAACAGAGATAATCAGCAATGGAAATACTATACTATGGAGTAATAAACATTTGACATATATTTCTTTTGTACGATGAAGTTATTTTGGGAAATTTTACATCCCATTTTAATATCAGTTTCATATAAGGTTGTGTATTCATTTCATGGATAGAATACAAACAAATCAGAAAATAGAAACTGCAGTGTTCTTTAAAACTATACAGACTTTTCGACTGAAAAGTAAGTTTCCTTTCCAGAGAACAGAGCCCCATACCATACTCACCCAGCTTCTGTTTAGCTTCGTTGAATGACTCCTCCCAACTTGTCCTTTTATCTGGTTTTGTGAAAACCACTGATAAATTCTCAATTCCATTTCTAGAAAAGTGAGAAAACAATGTAAATTGTGAAGTTATCCTTGTTATTACCAGTGCCTTGTATTTTCCCTCATTCTCCCTCTCATCTTACATTTGTTACGCATGTCTGTACAGTCCTAACACTTCTGTTTAGTTTGTGTGATAACGTGGCAGCCCACATCTGAGATACGGAAACTGTGCGATGCCTCTGTATGAATTCACTTCCCCTTTGGTAGATCCCATTGCCTTTCTGTGGGTGTTACACAACTTTCATTACAAAAATAGTCACAGAAAAGGGGGAGGAGAATAAAATAACTAAAAAAAAAAATAATTAAAAAGCAAAATTCAGAAATCATGGATTATTGTGTATGGCAACCTTGGCAATAACACACTCCCAAAGCCTAC